TTACGATGATTTGTTGCCAAACTACGCGCAAATAACCTGGGATTTTTTTTCCGCGCGAGAGCGGCAGATCCTTCCGACTCAACGCGTAGCCACTTGTTAAAATCTAAAATTTCTCCAGGATCCTACTTTTAACATATAATTATGAAATTGGGAGTATTTACTTGTTTAAAAAAAGTATGAGAACACCCCCTCTCCTTCCCTCCCTATCCCTTGTTGCCATAATTATTATAAAAATGTTATCTCTATCGCGTTAGTCAGAGAGAAATACGGTTTGACCCGGAACAAATGCATAACACACTTTTCGTATGTAAACTTCATCAGTAGATCCTCCTGAATAACATAATAAAAATTTACCACGGACCGACCCCGGAGCACCCCCCAAAATGCCTAAAATCAAAATGGCGGCCATAATAAGGCCGTATGGGATTTCGGTATTTTAAAATGTTCCTATAGTGTCATGTGAGGTATCTTTTCCTATGTAATTATGGTCGCCAATTTCATATATGAAGTCAAAAAAGCCCCCGGGTCAAAAGGGGTGCCCCAAATCCAAGATGGCGACTAAATTTGAAAGGCAAGGGAGGTCATTTTTTAACTTTTACGCGATTGCGCGAGTAAGGTATCATTTCCTACATAATATTGGTCGTGGATTTCATTAATGATGTCAAAACAGCTCCCCGATCAAAGGGAGTGCTCTAAATCCAAGAGGGCGGCTAAATTTGAGAGGCAGGAGGGGTGCATTTTTTAGATTTTTGCGTGAAAAGGCGGGTGTGGTGCATCAATTCCTGGATAATTCTGGTCGTGAATTTCATTATTGATGTCAAAATAGCTCCCCGGTCAAAGGGAGTGCTCTAAATCCAAGGGGGCGGCTAAATTTGAGAGGCAGTAGGGGTGCATTTTTTAGATTTTTACGAAAAAGGCGAGTGAGGTGTATCAATTCCTATGTAATTTTGATTCTAGATTTCATGTATCAAGTCGAAAAAGCCCGCTGGTTGAAGGGGGTGCCCCAAATCCTAGAGGGCGGCTACATTTGAAAGGTGGATGGGTGTATTTTTTTTAAAAAAAAATTCACCTAACAAGGCAAGGAAGGTGTCTTTTTCCGTCTACTTTTATTCAACGCGAGTCTGAAAAATGTAAAAGATTAATTTTACTCAAAAAATGGTACGTGTTATGCAAGCAGGTGACCATCATGGCTGTTCACGGTATTAAAATAATTTAACAGGAGCATCTAATGAATTGTTTTTGCTCACGAGACGTGCCTTTTCTTGTCAAGATAGGATAAAATCTGAATCAGCGTGCTGATTCCAATTCTGTGTCAAGCTCGTCAGGATCTTTCACCTCGGGTCTCTCCAAGTTTTTACGGTTGAAGTTGGCGCAACTTCTGCGAAAGTCGGGGCATAACCTTACAAGTACGCTGTATAGTGTCAAACCCTTGCTTCTGAGGATCTAGAGGAAGGATTCTAAGGGATCTAAGAACCTTTCGGTAGATTCTTGCAGGTAAAGATCTCTTCACGCGTATTGAAAGTAGTTCCTTTTATGATTCCGTGCATGTGGCAGGTCAAATCGCAACCAGTATACGCATTCAAGAACAGTAGCTGCTTACATAAACGTTGATTGATTCNTGGGGGGACCAAAAAGTTGCTACTTTAGACCGAGGAACATTCCCAAAGTTTCAAACTTCTATCTCAATTTGGAAAAAAGTTACAGGGGTGGTCAGTGACTTTTGGATAACCCTGTATTTCCAGCAATCAGGAAAAATCAAGAAAACCTAATTCCGATGCACAATAGGCTAGTTATGACCAAAATCCGGTTTCTAATCTAACAGACCTCGTATATTGTGGACGAGGTAACCATTCACTGTACAACATGAACACAAGATTTTTAGGTTTTCGGCCACTCATAATGCGAAAAAAAAGCTGAGCTATTAGCCGACTTTACAAATGGACGTATTTCTGTCGAACGGAACTAAGCGCCATAGGGGGAGGAAGGTAGAGGGGGGCTTGGATTGGCGGCGGAACCGGCCTTCGGGCTCATTCCGTCCTATACTCCCAATGCTTTTCCATGGCGCTTAGTTCCGTTTGACAGAACGCGCTATCCGGCATTCTAAATTTCTCGAAAGGAACTCAAATTGGCGCTTAGTTCCGTTTGACAGAAATACGTCCAAATATGATGTACAATAATTGTTACTCAGGCCATGCCTTAATAAAGAAGCAATTTGCAAATTGTAAATGTATTAGCATCCTCTTACACATTGTTTTTTTTTTTTTTTTTTTTTTTTTTTTTTTTTTTTTTTTTTTTTTNATTTTGACCGCCGCCATTTTGAAAAGGACTGACTTTTCTGGAAAACCGATGCCAGAATCGTCTTTCTCGTCCCAAAAAACCCTAGAATTCCGAGTTTCACACCAATCCGTCAATAAACAACGGAGATGCCAAATTTCTGCCATTTTGAACTTTGACCGGCCGCCATTTTGTCAAAAATCAACATTTTGACTTGCGGTTTGCGCCAAAAATTTTCTTTTTTTATTATCTTTCGAATGAGGTATCACAAAAGGGGGGTTGCTATTTGAAAAAAAAAAGTTAGCCCCCGCCCCCCTTAGGGGGGGCCGCCCCCCAAAATTTTGGGGGGACCAAAAAGTTGCTACTTTAGACCGAGGAACATTCCCAAAGTTTCAAACTTCTATCTCAATTTGGAAAAAAGTTACAGGGGTGGTCAGTGACTTTTGGATAACCCTGTATTTCCAGCAATCAGGAAAAATCAAGAAAACCTAATTCCGATGCACAATAGGCTAGTTATGACCAAAATCCGGTTTCTAATCTAACAGACCTCGTATATTGTGGACGAGGTAACCATTCACTGTACAACATGAACACAAGATTTTTAGGTTTTCGGCCACTCATAATGCGAAAAAAAAGCTGAGCTATTAGCCGACTTTACAAATGGACGTATTTCTGTCGAACGGAACTAAGCGCCATAGGGGGAGGAAGGTAGAGGGGGGCTTGGATTGGCGGCGGAACCGGCCTTCGGGCTCATTCCGTCCTATACTCCCAATGCTTTTCCATGGCGCTTAGTTCCGTTTGACAGAACGCGCTATCCGGCATTCTAAATTTCTCGAAAGGAACTCAAATTGGCGCTTAGTTCCGTTTGACAGAAATACGTCCAAATATGATGTACAATAATTGTTACTCAGGCCATGCCTTAATAAAGAAGCAATTTGCAAATTGTAAATGTATTAGCATCCTCTTACACATTGTTTTTTTTTTTTTTTTTTTTTTTTTTTTTTTTTTTTTTTTTTTTTAAAGCAGGGTATGAGTAACAATTATTGCATATTATATCTGTAAAGTCGGCTAATAGCTCAGCTTTTTTTCGCAACATGAACACAGGCTAGGACTGGCCATAAGGCCAACCTGCCATTGGCAGATACGCCCCCCGGCGCGCCGAAAACGCGCCCCTCTGACAGATAGCAAAATAAGAAGAGAAAAAAATTACGACCAAGAATATATGCGGAAAATTTCTTAAATGAACCGAAGAAGACAGAGATAGGAGTAAAAAAAAGGGTGCTTCTACGCATGATGGTTGTGAACAGAGGTCCAAGAACAACTTTTTGAAGCGTAAACACTTTTCTGTGAAATTTTCACCTTTCTGTTGACATGTAGGCGCTTGATCAATTGATCATCCCTATGTGTACAGTGTAACTCCCTTAGAGGCGATGGTCGTTTCGATTTTTAGACATACGCACCCTTTATACACCTCTTGAGAGACCTTTAAACATATTCCTATGACTATTGATTTGGACAAACCATAGCATATCTCGGGCAAACTTAACCTTCATTTATCTCGAAATTAAAAAAAAGAGACGTCTAAAGTGTAAACGCGATACAACTATTCGCGCAAGATGGATGTCCACGTTGCATATGAAAAATGTAAGACGTGGCGTGAGTTGTGAGCTTGCAAAGCTCTGCTATATGCTACTAGTTTAGAGCACCATTACGAATTAGACAAACGCAAACAAACACAATATGGAAATAAAGTGAGGGAAAGGATATGCGCGTTTACGTTGGCGCAAAGATACAACTATTCGTACTTGATGGACGTCCGTGCTGTATCTGAAAAATTGAAGGCGCGTTGACGCGAAGCGTGAGCTCTCAATGCTCTGCTATGTGCTATTAATGAGGTGTCACTCAGATTCGGGAAAAAAGTTAAAAAAGAGGCCCGAATACGTCTTTCCTGTCTTCGGCTGTGTTGATACTCGTTCTTTCTTCTCTTTTCATGTTCTTGCCTGATTCTTTTTAAGGATGAATTTACAAACCCACGTCTTAAGTTCGTGTAAACCGTAGCACTGGCTCGGTTATTTTGGAAATAATGTTGCTTGGATGCGTCTAGTGGCTTTGATTTTTTATGTTTTCTTTGATTTCAGAAGTCTGTCGGTTACTTCAATACGTTCAATTTTGCAAGTTTTACTCCTTGCGATTACTTAATAAACTTTGAACCTGAAAATAGCGTAAACTTGTGCTGCTTTGTCAAAATTTTCTCAACCCCTCTCTTCGTGGGGGATGCCCCTCCAGGAAGTATCACATTACGCCCCTTTAACCGGCCAAGGGTCTGCGCCCTCAGATGCGAGCCAGTCCGACCCTGCATGAACACTATACATTACTTCATGATAAAACAAAAAAGAGAAAGGAAATATATGTCATGTTATAACTTCTTCTGAACCTAAATCTATTGTCTTGCATAACATTATTTAGATTATCTTTTAATACTTTGATTGTATGTGTCAGGTGCCCATTTTTCTTACACAAAAAATAAAAAACTTAAACCATCAAACTTTCGGTTTCTTGGTTACTTAAATACATCTTTACCGTTTTTTTCAGATATGACAGATTTTCAAATTTTCCAGAAAATTTCAGGTGATTCTCCTTTGCTCTCTAAAAAAGATAAACTCAGAAAATTGTGTACGTACATTTTTAGTAGTGCACTCTTGATAACAATGAATTATAAGCATAGATTTTTGAACATCAATGTATTTTCGTGATTTCATAACCGTGTACACAGTATAAAACAATTTAACATTTTACACTGACAGAATGAATATGTATAGAGAACGGCTGTGGATGATTGTTCGAACACCCAAGTGAATCACTCTGCCTGCACAAATTTTGAAGGCGAAAATTGTGTTGAAGTCAGGTGAAACAGGCCATGAAATAAGGTGGGAAGGAGGAGATGGAAATAATTACACGGCTTAGAAAAATTCAATTTCTATCGTTTGCTCAAAGAAATCCCACAAAGATAAAATATTGACTTTTAACAGCAATGGAGTGTATGAGAACGAAAAACGGAGAATGTTTATAATTGCCAAAGGGCGAGCTCTCCAGCACAGTGGTGTTGGCACCTGCAGCTTGTTTACTCCTGTGATCGTTTGGCATATGGTTTGCAGATATCAAGTGTGTTCACCTGAAGATACCGGAATGATGACGAATCCTTTTTGTAGTTACAATCATACCGAGACGGTGAGCCTCAACTACCTAAGGCAAAGTCAAGTCAATTTGGTACCTCAAAAAAATTTCCTGGTCGATTCTTCTAGCCTGATCTCTGCAATACGACAATCGTTGGGTCTTGATCGACTTATCGTCGTGGCTGCGGCAGTAGCATTTACCCCTTTTGCAATAACCTTCGTTCAGATCCTCACACAATCCAGCGAAAAAGTTATCTAGATTCCCGACCGTATTCTTGATCTTGTCCTTGCAGGTAGATTTCATCGTACTGAATTCATTGGCCAGATTTTTGCAGTCTCTCTGGCAGTTCCGTGTTTTATTTTTGAAGCCTACGCAGGGACTATTCTCCTTGTAACGCGCCGCCTGAAAAGGTATGAAATTGTCATTGGAGCTGCTACAGACTGTGTTCAACACTGTAAGTGTAGGGTGATTCATCAAGAAATTACAACTGAACGCTACATCCAGATTTAGGCATCAGGGACCGTTCAAGTATTACGTAACGCAGGGGGGCGTAACGCGTTAGGGGCAGGGGGGGTTGAGCCAGCGTTACGGTGCGTTACAGAGAGAGGAGGGGGGGGGTCAAGTCCAACTTTACGTAACAAATCCGAATCGGAGGCAAGCAACTTGGAAAAAAAAAACGAGCAAAACATTGAAAATTGCCCTTTATTTTGAAACGAGGGGAAGGTGGGAGACAGGCCGGCGTTACGTAATTCAATANNGGGGGGGGGGGGGGGGTCTGTGCTGCCGTGCTATAGAAGAACGCCGTATGAACCATCAGGCGTTACTAAATTCCCTTCGAAAAAACACGGATTTTCAGGAAAATTTGTGAATATTTCTCCCCTTATTTTTCGGAGGATTTTGTTCGAAATTTGATCTAAAAAATCTGAAAATTATAGGGAAAAATATTTATGTAAGGAATTTGCGATTTGAATGTCGATTCTTATGTAAAAGTTTGGGAGTAACACGATGGTGCTACTGCTAGTTTTCTCCCAAATCAACTCCCAAGCTCAAGAAAAGCTCTCAAGTTGAGGTCAAAATGGAGGGATATCCCACGCTATCCTGAGAGTCCACCTCTACATCAAGACAAACTCTCCATGCAAAGATAGGGAGCAAATACATTGACAGGGCTGCTATGGTTTCAGTTTAAGAGTCCCCAAATAAAGTGGCAGCCCTGTCGATGTATTTGCTCCCTATCTTTGCATGGAGAGTTTGTCTTGATGTAGAGGTGAACTCTCAGGATAGTGCGGGATATTTCCTCCATTTTGACCTCAACTTGAGAGCTTTTTTGAGCTTGGGAGTTGATTCCAGAGAAAACCAGTGGCACCATCTTGTTTTTCGCGAACTTTTACATGAGAATCAATAGTCAAATCGCAAATTCCTCACACATTCAACATCTCCATTTTCTCAGAAATAACCATTTCATTGAAGGAAATTTGGCCAGTCTCGAATGTTCATACGGCGTTCTCCCTTAGCACGGCAGTATGGGTCTGCGTTACGGGTGCGTTTCAGGTACAGAGGGAGAGAGGAGTAAAAAACTCGGAAAACGTGCGTCTCCTAATACTTGAGCGGCCCCCTAGACAATCACAATATGTTCAAGAATGTTCTGAATTGATTTGTGACATTTAATTTACCTCTACGGCTCTTCTAGTGAATCTGGGGCAGTAAATACTTTATTCACAATGATATCATAGCCCTGCAAATTTTTGGTCCTGTCATATTGCGGGAAGGTATATCTTACCTACCTTTAAGTAGTAACAAAAAAGTATGAACTCGTGAGAATGGCTCTTTGATAAAGCAAAATGACCTATCCTCTGCTATTATCATGACTGATGTAAATAATTGGATATCAACTGCAGTTCGTCGTAGAAATTGGGTTTGCTCCGTCGCACAGTGAATCGCGTCCATTGGAGTGCTCGGACATGAAATATTTTACTAGAACTGCAAATTTTGCCGTTTATTTCGTCACATTTTACATTTCAAGCGGTGCTTCTAGGAGAAAATTTCACGAGGAAACCAATGAAACTACTCTCCGCACCTCAACGTTTTGTATAAATGGAGTTATAAGCGTTTAAAAATGTTGTCCAACCTCTCCTATTAAATCGACCTACTGTGCGCCGTCCCCACGACCCAAAAATGTGTTCTATAACAATAACAATGTAAATAGCGGGTAATAAGGCTAATTTTCACATAAATGCTACCACAACGTTTCGACTGAAAACTCACCCTTCCTCAGTTGGATGGAAACAGTAAAAAATTTTCAAAATCTAAAAACTTAGTACATATGGCTGTACCTTTCAAAGCAAGAAAAAATGTTGTTAACAACATTTTATTAACAGCACTAAGTTTATAGATTTTTAAAATGTTTCACTGTTTTCATCTGACTGAGAAAGGCTGAGTTTTCAGCCGAAACGTTTTGGTGGTATTCGTATGAAAACCAGCCTTGTTACATAGTATATCTCGTCTCGAAAATGAGTTTTGAAACCTCAAAATTTCCAGAAGTTTCAAGTTAATTTTCTAGGCGTCTCCCATGCTCAATTAATTTTGACGAAATCCCTGAGATCTCAGGAGCCTTACTCATTAATTTCGGCAAAAACCACTCGGAGCCACTTCCGACTCATTTTTACTTTCTCGCTCTCCTAGGGTAGAAGAAGTATTGATTTTATTTTAGTCTATTTGCTCAAATAATTTCTCCGATAACTTCGGTATTTTTAAGAATGGACCAGTAGACAAGGTACGAATTTCAGCATTCTGATACATGCTTCTTAGCCAATTTTTCACGTAGAGCACGATGCGCACAACGAAAAATACCGAAATCAACTCCTTACGAAGATATTTAATGATTCTTGATGCGTGCATTCAAACCACCCGCTCATGAAAACTCAATGCTCTACGTGACTCACATCGCGTGCTAAACGTTATCATGACAGTCTCTAGCTGCGTTGTAAAAATCTGGCAACCTCAATCTTGACACTTTAGCTCAGCTATAGCAAATTGCTTATAGTTGGAACAACACATGGTGGTAAATGAACATTGCTCGATTATGAGAAGCTTGCTGAAACCGTTGTAGTGCGCGATTTGACTCACGTAGAGCTTTGAGTTTCTTATGAGCGGGCAGTTCAAATTCCTCTTAACCAATGTGAAATAAAAATGTAAATATCTCCGTTAGGAGTTGGTTTCAGTAATTTTCGTTGCGCGAATCGTGTTTTACTTGAAATTCTGGTCAAGATTCATGTATCAGAATGCTTAAATTCGTACCTTGTTTAGTGGTCCATTGAATGAGTCGCAGTAATGCGGGTGTGAATTTTACCGTTGGAGGTCTCTTAAATTGAGCGTCCTGCTCATGAGGATGGAGCAAAAATATTAACAACGCCAAATAAAAGCACATCATCTTTGAATTTGCCCCTCGAGGTTTACACTTTTCGAAAAACATTCCGATACTTCAGATTCCGCACATTTGAAAAACGAAACTGACGATCTCTCGATCGCACTGGAATTGCATGCTGTTAGACGTGCCTGTTCATCGCGTTTTACTCTCATCATTTGAATGAATTTTGATTAACACGAATCTTAAAAAAAGGATTTTTTTTCTCTTGCAGATATTGGTTGCACGAGGACTTTCAGTCTGCGTTAGAGGCGTGGCGTGAATTGCGATCTATCGATTGTTATGTCATTTAAACCTATGGTAAAGAATCGATTATTAAGGTGTTCGCTGCGAACACCCTGTTTATCGATCCTTTTCCATAGGTTTAAATGGCATAACAATCGATGTATCACAAAGCACGCCACGCGACTGGTCTGCGTAATTAAGAACACAAGTGATGCATCCAAATGTTGCACTAATTTTGACGGATAGATGCACGCATGACCAATGGCGAGACGTGAATGGTCGACTATCGATATTTCCCTATTTATAGCTGTGGTAAAGAATCGATTATCAAGGTGTTCGTTGCGAACACACTGTACATCGATCATTTTCCATAGGTTCAACTATCAGATCAATCGATACATCGCAAATTACGCCACAATACTGCGCATGACTATCGGCACATCGCGAATGGAAACTCCAGCTGCAGCCAAAACAAGTGTTTTCTCTTACGGAAAATGACTCAATAATCATGATAACTCTTCGGCAAAGTCTGAGTACATTCCTCATGATGCACCTCACAATCTGCAAAATGAATGTGACATTTTTTTTTTTTTGAGCTTTCCAGTCCAAAAAGTAAGAGCACCTATCAGTGGCGTGGCGTGAATTGCGATGTATCGATTGTTATGTCATTTAAAACTATGGTAAAAAATCGATTATGATGGTGTTCGCTGCGAACACTGTGTTTATCGATCCTTTTCCACAGCTTTAAATCGCATAACAGTCGATATATCGCAAAGCACGCTACGCCACTGGCACCTGCCACGACAAAGACGTACTTTGATAGAGATGAGAACTCTGCCGTGCTAAGAAAAAACGCCGCATGAACCTTCAGACGTTGCCAAATTTCCTTTCATAAAACGCGAATTTCCTGGTTAACTTATGACTAATTTCCTCCCAATTTTCCAGATAATATTGTTCGCAATTTCAGCTAAAGATTCTGAAAATTTAAAGGAGAAATATTCATAACTTTCCTAAAAAATAATCAATTTATCGAGATAAATTTGGCAACTCTCGAACGCTCATACGGCTTTTCTTACTTAGCACGGCAGCACTGTGGTTTAATAATTCCGCACGATACTTTTTTTTTTTTTTTTTTTTTTTTTTTNTTTTTTTTTTTTTTTTACTACTTCAAATACCACACAAGTGGTAATCCTTGCGCTTCCAGTTAGAGCCCCTCCCCCCTCCGTCCCTACCATGTACCAGCCCAAGGCAACCGTTGTTTGAAACCATCAAACTCGGGTCGCCTAGCCGGGAATCGAACCCGGGACCTCCTGATTGTAGAGCCAGCGCTACAACCACTACACCACAGGAGGCCGACTAAACTCAATATAATACTCAAAAGTCAAAACGGCCATCGACAGGCGCAGCGCAGTTGCTTAAATGAAATGAGCTTTTACGAGTCAGGAATTTGCGATTTGAAAAAAATTCTACGTAAAATTTCGCGAAAGACACGATGGTGTCACTGGTTTTCTCTGAAATCAACTCCAAAGCTCAAAAGAGTTTTTAAGGTTGAGGCCGTAATGGAAGGGATATCCCACGCTATTCTGAGAGTCCACCTTTATATCAAGACAAACTCTCTGTGCAAAGATAGAGAGGAAATACATTAGCAGAGTTGCCGTGCTCTCACTTTTAGAGTCCCCAACAAAGTGGCAACACTCTTGATATATTTGCTTCCTATCTTTGCATAGAGAGTTTGTCTTGATATAGAGGTGGACTCTCAGGGTAGCGTGAGATATCTCTTCATTACGGCCTAAACTTTGAGAGCTTTTTTTTATGAACTTGGGAGTTTGTTTCAGAGTAATTCAGTGGCACTATTGTGTTTCTCGCAAAATTTTACAAGGGAATCAGTACTTAAATCGCAAATGCCTGACACATGTAAGAGTTTCATTACCTTTCCTCATTAAGATTGATCTCTAGTTTTTAGAGGAGCGATTCTATCGTCGATCGATCAGTTCATAATTTTCAGAATTTCCAAGCAGCACAATACGCTGTTGAATGTCAGGCATTTACTTATTGTATAGAATTGATTTGGATCGTATTGCAAGAGTAATCGAAGGACAGCGCTTTGAAAAAACCAAAACGGTGGACTTTAACGGCCGCCACCTCGCGAGCCTCAGAGTGTTGCCCCCTCCAGAATTACTCCTGAAGGCACCACCAATGAGCCCTGAATGCGGCATATGCCGATCACAAAGTGCAGGGTTTTTTTCCTTATAGGCAACGCACTAATGAGAGAAGGAGTGGATTATAGATTTTTCCTATGTGCTTAACGGTATATTCGACCCATTTAAGCATTCGAATCAATCTGTATTATACAGCTACAAGCAAAATCTTGGAAGCACTATTTCTGACGAACTGCCGGACCGATAAGGATAATATTTACATATCGACGGTGAAAGTCGGCAATCACATAACTCGGTTTGCGACGTCGCAGACTTCCTGTCATACTTTATTTTTTAAATGGAAAACTACTCAACGGCAATTCTTGAAAACTGTCATGATTTTTCTTCTCGATGCGAAGAAAATTCTGCAAAAACTTCAAGAAATAATATCAATTTGTTCTCCTTTAAAAAAATGACGTAGAGGCGGAGATTTTCAGACACCGCAAACGAGTTATGTGATTGCCGACTTTCACCGTCGATATATGTCATCTGTACCTAGTAGATGTAGATGTGCAAAAATTATGAAACCCCGAACTTTTAATGTTGTAGAGCTTTTAAAGCTCATGTCCCTTAAGTTCAATGTTAATTGCGTGAGAGATATGTCGTTTCCGCTAGAAACGTCGAGGTGTGGGATTCTACTTGAGTGACTCGAATAAACAATTAAACAATGGAAAAGCTCGTGAAGGGCTCCTCATTCGAAGAGTTTAGGAACGGTGCATCACTCAGGGTTCAAGGTTCAAGGTCCAAGGTATACCTAAGGTTTAACTCAAATTTTCCTGCATTCTTCCGGCTTCGATTTGTGGCATTGGTCAATTTACTTGATTGCTGAATTTCTATTAATATTTACAGCAGATAAACAGCAGATACAAAGTGAGAAGGCAGGCGCTGCGTCGCGTCGGGGCGGACCAAATATTATTAACTCTTAACGGTCGAAATCCGATTTTCTTATTTTTAAATTAAGTATTTAAAAATAACATAATAAATGGAAATTTCTTCAGTAAGTGGACTGTGAAATTATGCACATCCAGCTATTCCTCATCATTTACAAATCTGAGTGTTACGTCAAAAATTTTGAAATCGATGCAGCTCGAACACAAAATGGTGTATTAAAATGGAAGAACATTTTTGCCTATACATATGCGTATAGGGTCCGCGAAACGGGCTTGAGGGCGCGAGGCGCCCTCCCGGAGGTTGGGCCGCGTGGCGGTCAGGGGGCAGGGCCCGCTAGTATGTGATACACCTGTAGCAAGGGTTCGCTATGGCCCATATTTACGTAAAAGAGGAGGCACTCTTGAGATTACGTAATTTTTTTTGAGGGGGGGTGCCTGGAGGTAAAAGACATCTATTTGGCAAAGGGAGAGTGAGAGGTCAAAAAGTCGGGAAAAATGAGTTACGTAATTTTTGAGCGGACTCTCACTACTTTTCAGCAAAATAGGAAATAGGTAAAAAGTGAGAGACGAATTGGACTGCATTTTGCAATTTGGACTTATAAATTCCGGCCCGGTTAAAAAACAACGTATCTACCATTAGTTTCCCTATGCACATAAGTGTTTTTTCAGATGAGCCAGAATTTATAGGTCCAAATTGCAAAATACAGTCCAATTCTACCGTCCAAAAGAAAAACGCCGTATAGGCGTTGCCAAATTTCCTTCGGTAAATCACGAATTTCTGGGAAAATTCATAAATATTCATCTTCCAGTTTTTCAGAAAATTTTGTTTGCAATTTTACCTGAAGTTCTGGAAAATTTATCTGAAAAATATTCATAACTTTCCTCAAAAATAAACATCATATCGAAGGAAATTTGGCAACTCTTGAATGTTCATACGGCGTTCCTCCTTGACACGGCAGAATTAACCGGTAAATCCAAGTACCCTCATTAATTACTATTGTTATCATTGATTTTCAGGTCAATAAAGGCATTTTCTTTTATGTGCTTGAGCCGCTTTCACCTGGGAATCCCAAAATGTGGGGATATTTTGGAAATCGAGGCCACTCTTTTGTCTTCGAGAAGAAAAAGGAAAACTTTGGAGAGCTCGAAGGCTCGGAACTTCTGGTAGTTCGGTCAGTGGAAGTTGAGCAGCCGTCGGGTGTGAGCGGGAGTGTAGAGGATA